CAAAAGGGCCTTCTCCTACTCCGCTCCTGTTTCCTGGAATATCTTACAAAAAGATTTGAAGCTCTCGACCTTGACCTCTCTAAGTGGCTTTAAGAATCTGTTGGACTCCTGGCAGGGACCAATGCAGACATGTTCCTGTTTTTAGTTTTATACATTTGTCTTGGAATCTAGCTGTTTTTTTTTTTGTTTTGTTACCTTTTTCCTTTTAGCCATCCTATTTGTTAAAAAAACAAACAAAAAAAAAAAACTGTAGTATGAGTTTTTATAACTGCTTATTGTTGTTGCTGTTGTCCATTGTTGTCATCTTTCTTTGTTGAAATCAGGTCTCTCTTGTAAATGAGTCCTCGAGGCTCAATGGGATTTACCTGTATAAATAAAGGTTGATTGATTGATATATAAATGCTTTAAGTGCTTGCTTTACGTAGTTCAGGTTTCCAAAACATACAGAAGATTAAGTAGCACCACTGCTTTATTGACCAAGATATTTGTCTTTGCTAGGTGGTCACGGTTCTCAAAAACTTTTCTTTGGCCTTGAGATAGTCCCACTGGCAGAGCTGAGGCGGTGGTGAATTTAATCGTCAATGACGGCTTTAAATGACAGGGGGCTGCCAACATATGAAAAGTGATCAACATTTTCCAAGACAATGTTATCATTGAAGATGTTTGGAAGCCAAAAAGGTACACTTCTGTTTTGTGGAGGCCAAAAGAGGATTTGAGTCTTTTTATAAACCAAGCTTGGTTATATGTCTTTGCAAAGGCTAACATATTACACTGTAGGTTCCTTTCTGAGAAGACTACAAGGGTGTTGTAATCTGCATACTGAAGCTCCATGAAGAATATCATTGTGGTATGCCCTTTAGTCTTGAAACTGTTGATATTTAAGAGTTGCCCAGTTCTGTACATAATTTGGAGTTGATGAGATGATTGCACTGAAGACTGAGAACAGTAATGGAACAATGAAACCTTCCTGTTTGATTCCTGTGTCAACATTAATGGGTGTTGTACCATCTCCACTTCCACTGAGTACAGTGACATGTTATCTTGCAGAAGTCTCAATGTGCAATTGTACTTTTTTGGGCAAGCTATTTTTGCCAAAATGACCCAGCTGGATTATTCACTGAATGAACGGCTTTGGGGAGGTCAATGAAGACCATATATGGAGGTTGTTTCTTTACCGGCATTTTTCCTGCAACTGACGAGCAAAAATCATGCCAGTGGTGCCTCTACCTGGACAGAAACCACATTAGGACTCAGGGAGAGAAAGCTCTGATAGAGGGGTGAGCCTCTGAGTCAGAATCCAAGATAGCACTTTTCCTGTGAAGGACAGAAAAGAAATGCCATGGCAATTATTGCATTCTGCTTTGTCTCCTTTCCCAATGATTAGGAAAATCAAGGAATCCCTGGTTTGTACAGGGATTTTCTTTTCTTCCCATATTTTGAGAACCAGGGCACTTTCCTGTTTAAGATGAGTTTTGCCTACTTTTATGACTTTTGCTGGAAAGTTATCTGATCCAGAAGCCTTGTTGTTTTTCATCTTCCTCACAGCATTGTTCATCTCTTTATGACAAAGTGATTTCTCCGTGTTTTTCGCCATAAACTGTTGGGAGAATTGGTCTAGAGTATTAAACTCAGGAGTAGTGTTCCTATTTAAGTGGTCCTCAGAATGCTATTTCTCTCCCCTTGCTACTGTCTCATTATCTTTCAGCAGGGTTAGTATATCTTTGGAGCAAAGGAGGGTTTTTCAGCCATAGCTATGACCATAAATTGCTTTTATGGCATCAAAGAAGCCTCTGGTATTTCCAGCATTGGCAAACTGCTGGATCTCCAGATAATTCTTTGTCCACCACTGATTCTTAAGTTTCTTAATTTGAGTTGGAATGGCAGTCTCCAATTTTGCATGGCTGCTCTTTGAGTCTAGCAGTTTTTTTTATTATTATTTTGTTTGCCTGGTAGTAAAAGCTTGTTGCTTGAGTTTAATGATATTGAATTTCTTTATCGTTCTCGTCAAACCAGTCTTGATGTTTTCACAAACTGCAATCAAGAATGGCATTAGAAGAACTTACGATGACAGAAGACAGTATGCTTCAATGTATATCAATGTCATTTAGGGCTGAGTGGGCCCATTTTCACTCATAGCGGCCTGTTTCTTGTTAATAGCATTACCCAGTTGCTCGATTAGAAACATTTGCCAGGTCTGATAAGTTTGATTTCTTTTTTTATACATCAGGCAAAGAAACATGATAGAGTGAATGAGGCGATGATCAGTCCAACAGTGCTTTCTGTTGATCACTGCACATCACACCATAGCAGTCTTTGGTGCGGACAATGACGCCACATGGATGTAGCAGTACATGTATTTGTACCATGACAGTTTGGTACAGTTTGATGATTTTGATTAATAAAATGAACTGATGACAAATATGTCATTCAGAAGTAATCAACACTATCAGAGTGGGAGTATGTTTTATCTTACTATCTCTATTGCAGCTGATCACTGACAGCTGAAGCAGGGGGAAACGATAGATACATGTATGGTCAATGGACTGTACTTATATAGCACCTTTCTATCTGATCAAGATACTCTTAAGTGTTTTACACTATAATCAGTGTCCTCATTTACCCATTCATACAGTACTCTACTATGTCTTTACAAAGATTAATCAGAGCTTTATCACATTCATACACTGATGGGACACACATCAGAGTCAATGAGGGGTTCAGTGTCTTGCCCAGGGACACTTCAGCATGTGACTGCTGGTGGAATCAAACCCCCAACTCTTGTATTGGAGGACGACTGCTCTAACCACTCAGCCACTGCAGCCCCACAGATATTTGTATGGTAAGAAGGTGTTTCATAAAAGTGATGCTTTGAAATGCATAAGCAAACATCACACAAACACCCAGCTTGCTGAGAAGTTTGTTTCACATTTTATTATTATGTTTTATAGTAATTTTCAAATTGGGTGTTGTTATTTAGTTCTGAGGTGTTTCTTGTTGCATGAATTCTAGGTTAAATTTTTGTAGCATATACAGCTTTTGTTTTATTTGTAATATTTTCTTTTAAGATACACCTTTCAGGATACATTTTAACGTGTGTTACTTTTTATAGTTCGATCTGAACATTACTGTAAAGGACCTGCTACCTCAGACCTTACTAACAAGAATGTTTCTCTCTCTACTTCTGAGAGACTTATAGCCTGTACAAAAATAATTTACATTTGTTTCATTTTCTTTTTGTATCAAACCTGTACTCATTGGTGACCTTCATACTGAGGTATGTATGGAACCATGACTTCAGCATACCAGCACAACCCTATGAATTTCACATTCATAATTACAAAACAACGAAAATGAAAGAAAGTAAACCACAAATAACAAAATATGATTAAAATCAACAGTGGGAGTAAATAATCTTTTTTGTGATCAATGCAAATTATTAAATTGTGTGTGTGTGTGAGTGTGCATGCATTCAAACATTGGGGAAGTCCTTCTTTTAATTAATTTATTTTTTGTTCGGGGATGCCAACCACAGAGGAAACCCCTCCTCTCCCTGCCTCCCACACATCCGCCTACACAGTGGAAACTTCTGTCTTAACACACCATCACAATAACATTGACCACATGGTGTTTGATATCTGACGCCACTTTGAATCCTTTTCAGATGGTAGATACACAGCATCAGGCAGTTATGTTCAGCTTGAAAAAACTATCACAATAAACTGTTGCACTTTAATGTTCCTGATTCATATGTTGTTCTTTCAAAGCAGCTCAGGAGAAGGTTTTGTTATGAGCTTTATAAAAATGGCATGCTTTTTTTGTTTTGTCGTTTGTTTTAGGATTTTTTTTAAATTGATTATGAGCTAAACAAAATTCATAACTGTTAGTTTGAATAAAAAATATTAATTTGTTTAGCAGACAAGTAAAATAAAATGAAAACTAGTTTACATATTTTGAACAAGTTGAGTCTATGATGTTGCATATGCATTTGAAAAATCTCCTGGCATCACATTTATACAAAAACAGTGATATATATACTATATACTATATATATATATATATATATATATATATATATATATGTCACGATCACAGAAAACAACTCTCTGAAATCTTCTACAAACAGACCACAGAGAGCTTTGTAGAGCAGCTAGTCTTTTCTAGACTTGGTGTTACAAACATTTTCTCACAACACACCATCTCATGCATCTGTGAAATCGCCACGAAGCTGGGAGTGAAAAAACATTCAAGACATACCAAGACAAACTTTGATGACTTGGGAGTACAAACATGGTTTATGTATACAAACTAATACTGAGATAATAAATGAGTAAATTCTTCTTTCATTTTGGTTTTCACACACAGTCCTGAAACTACAATATCACTGATGATTAAAAAATACATACATAGTATAAAAGGATTGAAAGGGGCTTATTTCTTTGGGATTTTAAAGTAACTATCCATCTTTTGCTAAAAAAAAAAAACATATCCCATAAAATCATCCATCAATGATATTTATAAAATGAAATTCCTGGTTGACAATTGTATTGAAGAAAAAACAATTACAGAAATTCATGGTGATATTTTTCATGTAGTTTATGAAGAAAATGTGAGTGTGCAATGAGCTGAAAAGTTGCGGTACAAAAGTTGCACAAAAATATTGCCAACTTGTGGCTAAAATAAACACTTTCAAGCACATTTTTATCAAAAAACTAAACAATGAAGTACACTGGACTCATACCAACAGAATGCTAAACAAAAAGTATTTAGGAAACTTCTAATGTATAAAAATGATGTATTTTTAACATACGCTTTAAAATCAATAAGTTTGTAAATCTCATTACAATAAAAAGACTGCTAAATTCTTCAAATATTCAAGGCCATCTGCAAACTTTTGACTTTGTAAACACAAATCTGAACACAATATTAAAGTAAAAAATAAAAAAAAAACAGAAAAATAGAATGTCATATTACATGCTGCCACAACTTCTCTTTTGTAAACATCAGGCACAAGTTGACAGTTTTGTTTCCTGTGGATGCTGTTCCTCACCCCGAGCCAATCCAAGCAGCGAGATCACACGTGTGACCGAAGCAGCAGCCACCAAGCTCAAAGAGCTGAAGATGAAGGAAGCACCGCTGAGGAAGAAGGTTGATGCATAGTTTCCTGTCCGGTCTACTAACCAACCTGAAAAAAGAGGAAGAGAAATATACATGTCAATACATGTCAAGTAGCTTTTTTGTTTGACTTATGTTATGCTATTTATTGTGTACAAATATTTAAGAAAAAAGACATGTTTAGGGTGAAGAACACACAAAAATATATTTTTTAGTCCTCGAGGCTCAATGGGATTTACCTGTATAAATAAAGGTTGATTGATTTTAACAAAATATTCCTGAAGAGTTGATTTATTTAAAGTGCAAAAGTATTTTAATACAATTTTTAAGTGTAGATTAGTTGTACTTTAAGAATCAGAAAGACAAAAAATAATTTTACAACAGCTATACATAATACATCATGGAACATACCTGGTAGGTACCTGGTACATACAGGGTATGTTGCTGGTATTTACCTGGTGCTAACAGGATACCTACCTGATACTTTTAGGGTACATAAAGAGGAAATATATGATACTTGCAATCACCAGCTTGAATTATGAAGTGACTTATTACCCACTAATTGCCAGATACGTATCGAATACACATGGTACATATCTGGTATTTGTCCGATATGAACAGGGTACATACCTGGTGCCTACAAGGTACCTACCAGATACTTGTAAATACTGGGCTTTATTATGAAGCAGTTTCACCTTCAATAAACACCTGGTACATACTTGGTACTTTCCTAATACCTGTATATATCTGGTACACACCTGGCACACACAAGGACCAAGCTGAATTATGAAGTGGCTTTTTACTCAGTAATTTTCAGGTACACACAGAATATATACTGATAAATAACAAGTATATACCCTGTAAATACCAGGTAATATTGTGTATTGCTACCAATTTTAATTTTGAAAAATGAATACACAAATAAAGCTAACCACTCAATAAAAATATACTTTCAAGTATTGTAGCATCTAATACATGAACCCTTACCGCCAATCGGTGGGCTGACCAAATATGGAACAGCATGCAGGAAGTAAACCACACCCAAGGCAGAGGTAAAATGGGTGGAGCCTACAGTGTCAGAGGTCACAACTGGTATTAGTGCCACATACGCCCCATCAAAGTACCCGTAGAGTGTGGAAAATGGCACCAGGAGGGAGAAGGAATGGAGAAAAGGCAGGAATATACAACAAAGGCCCTCCATGCCTATTGCCATAATGTAGCTCAGAAAGCGATATCTCTTCAGACACCTGGAAAAAGGCAATATATCACTATGTTGCTTCAGTTTAAAATATGTCTATATCTAACAAACAAACCTTCATCTCTGACTTACCTCCTGTCCATGATCCATCCAAAAGTGATATTGCCAACAATTCCACTGACACCAAAAATAGACATGAGGAAGGCGGCATGGCGATGCTTGACTCCTATGCTCAGGGCGTAAGGAACAAGGTAAACTAATGGAGCACTACAGCCATACGCCAGAAACAAGAAGGACACTGACAGAATCAAGAAGCTGGGTATCACAAAGAAACCAAACTCCTCCTTGAACCTGAGACAAAAACCCTGGAGTCTGCATAGTGGAGGTGAGTTCACCAAAGGTTCGGTAGAAACAGTTTTATCAAAGCCACCTAACGTGTTTATTTCATCAGGTTCTGAAATTTGTCCTTTTGAATTAGCAGCCGCTGATGTGTTGTTCGAGCCTATGCTTTCCATCAGTTCTGAGTCCTTGATCATGCTGCCATTTTCATCCAGTTCTTCCATCTCTCCTAACATTGTCTCCAGTTTGTTGCTAAATAAAATGCATTCAGCTATTTTATCTGCCCTTCTCTTATCAGGAAGTATGTGGTTTGTCAGTAGTGTTATGTTCCCTCGAAGTCTATGGTTTTCACATCCAGAACTTTGAAATGTTCCAATGGCATTGACAATGTTGTGCGTATCCTTCAGGTTGTCTGTTGTCTGCTGTTTTGGTGCCACTTGGCTGCAGTCGCTAGTTACTGGTTCAGTGAATTCAGATTCCAGAACAGCTGTCAAGTGGGCATTTTCCACATTTGTCAGGTTGCTTTCCCACATCCTTTAGATAAAACAGAACAAGAAAAAAATACATTACAGTATATATTTAAATGCTTTGTTATGCTTCTAGCCAATCATTGTGAGGCAAGCAGGTAAAACAAGGTTGTGAAGGTTTTCATTTCAAACATTATGCACATGGGTTAGGGCAGGCTAACAAGTCACAAGGTCTGTTGCTAAGCTACACACAATAAGGAAGACTTGGAGAAACCATAAAACTGGAATAGGCATCATGCATTTTTCAGTGGAGTATTATGGAAACTACCACTAAAAAAAGGGAATTTCAGCTACAATCAATGCATTCTCTGCTAAAAAAAATCACTGTCAGAATCTCAAAGAGGTAGGTGTTGAAATACCAAACATTACAACATTCTTCTTCTGAACAATTTCATACATTAAGTGATTAAATTAAACAAACTAAAGGCTAAAGAACAAAACTTAATTTACTACAAACTTTATTTGTGAGCAACTTGCTCCATCTGTTGGTTAAATCAACAATGTTTTAGCCATGTTTTTTTTTTGCAGCCAGATGACTGACGTGTTCAATTTTGTACAGTGATAGTTAAATATTGACTCTTTTAATGCACATCTATAAACATAACGCATTGGACCACAAGACTTGTTTTTCACATAACAGAAACATTTGGTCACACTGAATTTGCATTAATTTTTACTAACTTTTCAAGGAAGTTTCATTATTCAATTTCCATTTAATCTAAGATTTAAAATACACAAGAAAAGGTTGCGTTAAATTTTGCAATAAAACGTACCGAAGAACTGATATTTGTCCAATTTTACTATTTCCAGCACTTAAAAATAACTGAAATTTAAAAGCCAATCAACGAATACATTTTTGCACTAACGTATTTTTTGCCGTAGAAGTTGCACCTTTTTATAAATAAATAAAAAAAGTGCTACAGTATGCGTTGTCATTATTGTATGTTCCCATACAAAGACAAAATTGGCTCTCTGCATTCAACCCATTGCATCTGGTGGAGCAGTGGGCAGCTATGTAAGCACCTGGGGAGCAATTTGGGATTGGGTGTCCTGCTCAGAGACACCACAGGATGTGCAATGACTGGGGATTGAACCCAGGATCTTCGGGTCTGGAGTCAGATGCCCTGCCCCTACACCATCTTGGCCCCTTTTTTGCATAAATTTGCAAGACCTGCGACTTATACACCAAAGCGACTAATTTACTTCCACCCCATATTTATAACCCAATTTTTAGCTGAGATCTAGCTATTTCAGTCATTCTGACAAGGAAAATAATAAACACTACCATGTTCAGCTGCTAGAGAGCCCTCGGCCTATATGGCAAGCCAAGTGTCTCATTAATCGGTAAAAGTGGCTATTAATGAGACATTTGGCTTGCCATACAATGCTCCTTCATCTCGCTCCAGAACTCCTGGAGCAAACGTCAAATCAGCTGCATTTCGCCGCGCCGCCCAGGCGAAATGCAGCTGATATGACCATTAAAGTGAATTTATTAAGGAAAAGTTCAACTGAGACACACCTTTACTATTATTTCGAGCAAACAAATAATAGTTTTTAAGTAGTTATATTGTTAAATTTCAAAGTCCTCCCATGCATGCTCCCACGGCCGCCATTTGACAGCCAATCGATTTTTGGCACAACACTTGCCCACATTTCCGAGTGGTCAGCGATGACGCATAATAGATGTGACTTATACGGCAAAGCTACTTTTCTTTTTTCCCACTTTATTAGACATATTTGGACTGATGCAACTTATACGGCGGTGCAACATGTACGGCAGCAAGTACAGTATATTAGATGATAAGAAATTAACTTAATAATCTTGAGGTATAATTTACTGCAAAAAGACAGGACAAAAACACTGACCTTTTAACACTCTTTTGTTCCAGCGGCCTCATCAGAGCACCACAAACACACAAGTTGGAAACAAACCCCCCGAGGATGAGCATAGCCCCTCTCCAGGAATAATGTTCAATAAGCAGCTGAACTGCAGGAGCCAGAAGGAAGGTCCCGATGCCACTGCCTGAAGACAACAAAATCAGATTAGATAGGAAGGAATAAAATAAGAGAAGAAGAAGGAAAAAGATGGAAAAATAAACTTTAAGATAGACTCAATCAGGGCTATTCAACTGGTGGCCCACGGGACGGACTTCAATGAGTTCCTTAAAAATTATTATTATTATTATTGGTTCTGGGTTTGGGTTTTTTGTTCCGTTTATTGTGTTTATGATTCGGCGCAACAAAATAAACAAATTAAAAAAGTAACAGATCAATGTAATACTTGGTTTATTTACATAATGACTTTAATTGCAGGATGTCTGGCTCAAGCTGCTGGCTTTCAGAAACTGTGGCCCCTGAGCAGTTTTGTTGAATAACCCTGGATTAACTGTCGGATGAAAAATACAAGCAAGAGACAAGTAGAAAGGAATATGAAATTGAAATTACCACCAAAAAATAAAACTAAATAAAAAGAAGGTCAGTAAAGACAATACCAGACATGGAGATGCCATAGGCCAGAGTTTTCCTCTCATTGAAGTACCGTCCAACCATTGCTATGGCTGGCGTGTAACTGAGAGCAAAGCCAAGACCTGTGGAGGGCAGATAAAGGGTACCTGCCAAATGCTGCCAAATCTCAACAGACCCTCAACATATTTTAACGAGGGTGAGGGATTTTTCTTTTCTTTTCATTTAATCTTCATCAAGTCATCATATGACCATTTTCAATGTTGAAATGTTTGTTTCAAACAAGTTAGATCTGAAATTGTAGTTCTAATCTACAGCCAAATAATCAGAGTGCTAAAGTGCCATAAAAGGTGTTGTGTTTGTTCATACCTGTAATTACTCCCAGAGAGATGTAGAGGAATTCCAGGCTAGAGGCGAAAGAGCTGAGGACCAGGCCTGCAGAGGACAGGAGCCCCCCCATAAAGACTGTTGCTCTGCAGGATAGACGGTTGCCAAGGAAACTACCAAGAGGAGCTTGACACAGATTGTGTGGATTAGTTAGACTGTATGCTCATGCAGACACAAGTATTGTTTTCCTACTATCCATCAGAGTTTCACTAACAAACATGCACACACCATGTACAATCTGATCAGAGTGTAGCATCTACTGACCAGCCATAATGTCATGACCATGTTACTTTTTTATTGAACTGACCATAATTCATTCAAGTCCTTCAGTGAGCCTTGGAAATGGCTTGGAAATTTTCTTCCTTTGACCATTTTAGTCCAAAACAAGCGGTATGTAAATGTCCCCCATCGCAGAGAGGTTTGAGAATGTTTTGTAGTTCTTAAAATCAATGTTTTTCTAGGCGGGAATTGAACAAGGAGTGCAATATATTTAAGTGGGTAGGAGATACACTGTGTATAAGAATAGAGCTTGTTTGTTTGTTTGTTTTTGTTTGTCCAAGGTACTGCAGAATGATGGATTCTGGTGAGCAGAGGGAGCACTTTTATCCACCAGGAGGTGCAATGGTGGAGCCAGGGGGTGGCTGATAATGGCACCATAGATTAATTTTCAGCTACCACAGTCATTCACGGAAACAATCATTTTTAGCAATACAAAAACTAAAAAGCATAGTTTCCTCAACGGATAGGGGTGGTTGAGTTACATATATGTACACATATCTATTACATATAGATATGGTGGTAGCCATCTTGGATTTTGATGTGACAACCCAATTTTGAAAGTGATCTTTCTCATGCCTAGAAATTGAAGTCTGTACCTCGTTTAATTTTTAAGTTATTATTCATACAACAAGCATTGATGGACAGACAGACAAAGGCTATTTCCAATTTCCCCTTTTTGCTCTGCAACGTTGGACAAATATTCCAAAAGGACTGCAGTCATGGACATGCAGTGGCACAGTTGTGCAGACATCATGGGCTCATTTCAAAGTCAATTAAATTATTCTGTTTTTATGTCAGTGTTTTCAACAATTCAGCAACAAAGATAAGATGTTCATTGTGTCACCAGTTGTAATTGTAACTAGATAATTAGTGTGTTTCACTTTATCTGTTTATGGTCATATTAATATGTCTAACCTGCATATTTACTGGCAAATTCTGAAAAAGTTGCATTTCTTACCACACAGCATGGTGGTGGAGTCAATCATACTGTGGATCCAAGCCGTGGAGGTGTAATCCTTCTCAAAGTGCATCTGGAACTCCACAAAAAATATGGAGATGCATCTGGATGGAGAGAGCAGAACAGAAGTTTTTATTGCTGTTTATTTTCATGGTAAATGTCTTGTTTGTTTTTCAGTGACAGGCAAGCAATTCAATTTTGTCCAAAAATATGTTGGCAACAAAGATGGTTTTATAAAGGCCAAGAAAACAGGCATTTTAAATTATTTTTAAAATAATAATAACAGTAGTCAACTTATTAGGAGAATACTTAAATGACAAATTAGTGACTTTAAGCAAAAATGTTATAATATTTTCACTCTACTGTCAGGGGATGAGTTTGCAATGATACCGTTTACAGTAAAGATTAAGTTCAAGAGTTGGTTTCATGTCATGGGTGACAAACTAAAGCGGTGTGAGATTTTCATCATTTTATGGGTGCCACTCTTATCTAGTAATCTGTCGGTTCTGAACTCAGTGGTCTAGTTTTTATGACTGTTGTCTGTTGTATAATGTGAAAGGGAACACCATGGTCTCATGACAAAGGGCATAAAAAGAATGTGTTGAGTGGTTCATGAACAGTGGAATGAAACCTAATATTTATTACTGTACATGTCAAACATAGCATTCAACACAGTTTTTGCCTCCCTTTATTGTTCTGTAGAATTTTGTACATGTACAAGTTTTATCTTCCACACAGAAGATGCCGTTTCTCATCTGAGGTTGTGGCTTTTTGTGTACTGCATATTTTTATATATGATAATATATATAATATCATAATGCCTGCTTTGTGACTAAACAATCTAGTAGATTTCAAGTAGTTGGATGAGTTTCCTTAAGTTTGACTAATCAATAGAATATTTAAAGCAGACTTGGCCAGATATGGACTGGGTAAAAAATAAAATAAAATCCAAGAATTTCTAATATTCATCACAAAGTACTTAGGGCATTAAAAAAAAAAAAAAAATCACAGTAATGCCACTTTAATTGGTGATATGTGACTTATCTGTGCTGCTGATTATCCATGCTGCTGATCTTTTGCCTTTATGCTGCTGTATTCATTCATACCCATCTACTCACGTTAGACTCATATTCGGGCTGCTGTTTAATATGCCATATTATTTTACATTACTGCATTAGTGTTTAATAGTATATCTTGGATCTTTTAGCATATTGCTTAACGTTCGTTTGGCGTATATCTTAGAGTATATCTTTGATCTTTATATACTTTTTATTTTTATACTTTATATTTTTGCTATTTTTGGTTGTAAATGGGACCTTGAGTACACAGTTTCATTCCACCTCATGTACCCCATGTGATGCGAATGACAATAAAGAAACTTCAATCTTGAAACAACATTTGTCATGTAATATTGATCTTGGAAGAGTTGTTTGTGTATATATTACTTTGTACAACAGAACAGAAATAAAGTGAAAATCAAAGTTATGGTCAAGTAATGACTGCAACTGAACCTGTCAATGAAACCCTAAACATCTGGCTATACTTATACAAAGAAGGCAACTATTTGTTTATAAATTAAATGGATATATGTCATTATGATTATAAGTACACACTTACTCTCAATTACCAGTCAAAGGACAGGACAGTCAATGGAGACATAAATAACATTCACAGGTATTTCATAAAGTATATTCCAAAGATGAACTCTTATATTTAATTCAAGCATGAAGTGAGATGTATAGGGATAAAAGAGTTGAATACCTGGTCACTGCACGAATGCAGATGGTGGCGAGGAAACATCCAGCGACTATCATCCAACCCCAACCACCCTCTGGTGGTTTCATGACTCCAGACATCCTTCTGCCTCCCTCAAGTTTATCCTCCTTGGAAACTTCCATAACTTCAGCTCCACTCTTCTACGTCTCTCTTTGAATGTAGTGAACTTTTAATCAATTGGATTAATTCTGTTAAATTCAAAATTCCTTGCTGAAATATCTTCATATCCTTTGACTCATTTATACATTTTCTTCCATCTTGATTATGTCAGTCACTAAAAGCATAACCCATCACTGACAGGGAGAGCCGTCAAGGTTGGGTGGAATGTAAGCTGAGTGACAGGTGAGGGCAGGGACCTGCTTGGGAGCCAATTCTTGATATTTTAATGGCAGCAGAAAGAGTCCATATGTATAATTTTAAATTCCTTTGCATGATTTAGGATTTTTTTGGTTTGTTTTGTTTGTTATGTGGGCCTGTGCTGCAGTTTTGACCCTGCCTTTTGCAAAGAGATTGTTGAAGATAGGCACGAGCTCTCCTGCAGCCTGGAAAAAAAAAAAAGAATGAAAGGATGTTTAATATAGAGAAGCTTAACTCCCAGCTAAATTGATAATTCTATTGCAACAATGCTAAAAATACAGTAAAATATTGTGTAAAAATTAATATAAAAAGCAAAAAAAAGTTTCCATCTATCTATCTATCTATCTATCTATCTATCTATCTATCTATCTATCTATCTATCTATCTATCTATCTATCTATCTTTCTATCTATCTATCTATCTATCTATCTATCTATCTATCTATCTATCTATCTATCTATCTATCTATCTATCTATCTATATATATATATATATATATATATATA